TTCGAGCAAGGTGTCGTATATGTGTCCTCAGCACTTCCACAATAATGTGGGTCTTGATGAGGTTGTCCCTTGTGATAGCGATAGTTGCCGCTGTTGACGCACTTTTGGGCAAGCCTAAACACATCCGGAGTGCTTGAGCCTGGACACTTTGAAGCATTCGTATGCTTGTTTTACTTGCGTTGGTTAACACAGGTAGGCTGTACCGAAGGAATCCAAGAAAAAGAATCCTGTATAGTCGCAACATAGCAGTTGTGGACATTCCCCAGTTCTTTCCAGCGAAGAACTTGAACAAATGACAGATGCCTGTCAATCGCCTTTTCATGTATGATACATGTGAGCTCCATGAGAGGTCTCTGTCAATTAAAACACCTAAGAACTTGTATGATCGGAGGTGACGTATCCTTTCGCTGTTTATCAGAACGCTGTAGTTCTGCATTGGTTTGCACGTAAATGCCACAAATGCACATTTCTCAGAGGAAATTTCCAGACCTCGTTGACGGAGGTATATAGCAACTTGAGTGGCAGCTCTCTGAATTCGCGCTCGCAGCTGTAGACGTGTTACTGCAGACGTCCAAACGCAGATGTCGTCCGCGTACATTGACAATCTGACAGTACTTGGCAGGTGCTCATTGAGAGCTATTAGCGTCAGGTTCAATAGTACAGGGCTAAGTATGCCACCCTGGGGAACACCATGGTGGATGTGATGTAGTGAAGTGTCACATCCTCGGTTCTCACGAAAAAGGATCGCTCGGACATATAGCTGCGTAGCCACTCAAACATCCGACCACGCACTCCTACCTCCTTGAGAGCGGTGAGGACAGCTTCAGGTGTGACGTTATCGTACGCCCCTTTAACATCAAGAAATAAAGAAGCGCAGAGACGCTTACGGCCTTTTTCGTGTTGCACGTAGCTGACCAGGTCTATGACGCTATCAATTGATGACCGGCCACGGTGAAATCCCGTCATAGCGTCCGGGTAGATGTTGTGATGCTCCAGGAACCATTCTAGCCGTCCAAGTACCATCCTCTCCATCACTTTGCCCAAGCAACTAGCCAGCGCAATCGGGCGGTATGATGTGAGCACCAATGGTGACTTGCCAGGCTTCAGTAATGGAACCAAACGGCTGGTCTTCCAGTTAACTGGGAGGGTGCCCTCTCACCACGAATTGTTGTATATCTCAAGGAGGGCACTCCTCGCACACTCACCAAGGTGACACAGTGCTCTGTATGATATTCCATCAGGCCCGGGTGCTGATGTCCGTCTACACAAAGCCAGTGCTGCTTTAAGCTCATGAATAGAAAAAAATTGGTCCATGTGGTGATCGTGTGATGTCGTGCCACCACGTGAGAGCGTGGAGATGTTGGGATCTGCGAGTTGACCAGATAAGTTGGCACAGAACTCTTCTGCCACGTCAATCTTCGATCTCTGTTGAGAGAGGGCTAGAGCCTTGAATGGAGACCGCTGAATGGGAGCTGTCCGGAGCCCTCTTATTGTCCTCCACAAGTGTGATAAAGGCTTGCGAGGATCTAACGACGCGCAGAAGGCTGCCCAACGTTGTGACTCTAGCTTGTCTATGCGGCGTTGTATCTTCTTCTGAAGACGTCTAGCAATTCGTAAATCGTCGATTGCTTTCGTGCGTCGGTACCTTCGTTCCGCACGCCGTCGGAGAGCCCGAAGTCGTTCTAATTCCACATCAAATTCGGTTACTCTCGAAGAGCATGTGCGGGTGCACACTGTGTCTTGCACTGTGGACTTGATCACCTCTTCTAAGTCAAATGAGGTGTTCTCTTGGCAGCGTTCTTCCATTAGAGATTCAAACTTGGTCCAGTCCACTCTTTGGATAGTTTCGCGTACCTTGCAAGGTGATAATCCTCTGATCTTGACATATGTGGGAATGTGGTCGCTCCCATGTGTTTCTATGTCTGCAAACCATCCAGCACATCTGACGAGACCTCGAGAAACAAAAGCCAAGTCAAGGCAACTGCTGTATCCAGGGCCACGTAAAAATGTTGGGCTGCCATCATTTAACAGGCACAGCTCGTTGTCTGAAGCAAACATTATCAGACTTCTACCCTTCGCGCTGATCTTCGGGCTGCCCCATAGCGTATGCTGGGCGTTGAAGTCTTCGATGATCACCCATGGGCCAGGAGTGGATGATAGGATGTGTCCTAGTCTTCTGTGGTCAATAATATTTGATGGCGACAGGTATGCACTGACAACAGTGGCAATAAGACCCTTTTTCTTCACTGTTAAGCATATAGATTGGTTATCGTTGTCAGGTGGTACAGACCAAAGAATGTAGGTCAGGTCACGTCGAACAAACAGCAGGACCTTGCTGTTTCTACTATAACAAGCCGACATAAATGATTCGTATCCGGAGAGTCTCATAGCGCTCGATAAATTTGGCTCGCAGATGACGATGATGGGAAGCATATGGGTGGAAACGAACCGACGGAAATCTGCGATGCGTGATTTCAGTCCCCGTGCATTCCACTGAAAAATTGTTGCTTTTTTGACCTCTACCCTGAAAGACAGTGGCTGGTGGGCCATTATCTACTCAAGAGCCGCCAGTACTGGACTCAGAGCGTCCAGTACTTGAAGTGCACTTCTGGCTGACGTTGTGCGCATGTTGTTTAACACCGTGCGAATGGCAATAATTATGGGTCGTAGAAGAGCGATCACTTGCTTATCCAAGTTCCGCTGCTCCTCTGTTGTCGCAGCTTGCTCTGATGAATGCGGCTTCTGATGCGGTTCTTCCACAAGTTGCGTGCGCGTAAGTGGCGGCCACTCTTCAGTAGAGAGAGATCTACTTGTTTTTTCTCTTCCATCGTCTGCGTTCACCGCGGTGTACCCTGCAGTGGGCGCCGTTACCAGATGCGTTGACTTACTTCTTGTAGTTGACTGTGTTCTTCGCGAAGATCTTCGACGGTGACGTCGTCGTCCTCGCCGGACTTTTTCCGCGGCCTCTTTGTGGGTAGAGCTGTCTTGCACCATTTGTCTAAGAATAGTAAACTCCTTCTTTATGCATGGACAGTCTTTGGAAGATGCACTGTGGGCACCTTGACAATTAGGGCACTTTAGTATGATTGCGCTGCATTTGTCCTCGGTGTGTGGTTCTGAGCATCGGGGGCACACTTCGGTGTTCCTGCACGCTCCCTGCACATGGCCGATCTTCTAGCACTTATGACATCGCATAGGTTTTGGAATAAATGGTCGGACCTGGTGATGAAAGTGGCCAACCTTCACATGGGAGGGGAGACAGTCCCCTTTGAACGTAATTCTCACACAATGTGTGTTACCAAGGCGGCTGGCATTCACAATGACGTTATCTTCATTTGCTGGTTTTATTAGCACTGAGAGATCCGAGTTTGGAATTTCAGTGGCGATGTCGTAAATGACTCCTGTTGAAGTGGTGCTATCAGCTGGTATTATAGACTTGACATTGATGTTACCCAGTTGCGTTACTTTCTGAAGCGCGTTTAGCGCACGTAGGTTCAGCACATCGATTGCCAAGATTTTCCTTCTTGCGTTTAGACGTACTTCCTTGATCTGATTTGGCATAATATTCTCGAGATACACAGAGAGCGCTTGCCTGTTCAGCCCGCGTAGACTGTCGGTAGCCTTCAGCGGCACAAACAGGATAGAGTGAGGCCATCGCTGAGGGGCAGTTTTCACGGTGGTCGTGCTTGATGCCGAAGATGCATTGACGATCCGTCGTTTAGCCTTGCGGTACAGGACGGGTTGGAAGCCGTCGCCCGAGGACTCGTCGCTTGATGCGGAGTACACCTCAGTGTCCTCACTCTCACTAGACGCGTTTCCTCGCTTCCTCGAAGCAGTCCCCGTGGTCGAACCGGACTCGGACGGTGCCCCGTGAGGTTAAACATCCATCACCACAATATATGGGGCGATATACCCCACAACTGCGGTGAAAAATCCAGAAAACACAAAGACGAGCAAGGTGTCTTCCGTAAACGAATCACTTCGTCTTCCTCCGTCTTAACTGCGCTTAACTAATCACATGGAGCCTACTGTTCCCTTGTCATGAACCTAACACGGGCAGCCACGCATGCTAAACAAAAGCGCGACTCTAGAGATACGCGCCGATGCTGATCACCTAGCGTAACCGAGAGAACTTCAGGGGGGGCGGGGGGGGGGGACTAGATTTTTTTTTCCGCAGTCACTGAGTAGGGGCTCAAAGTGCGGCCCGAAGCGTTAATTACTCATTCGAATCTGGGCCGTCACTGTGTTGTAAGTATGGTTATGACAACGCAAATGTTTAGCATTATGGCTACCGAAAACCCCTCGCGTTCAAGTCCAAGAATGTTTACTTCCCATCTTTACTTCCCGAAAACTGCGCACCAAATGCAGGTTACTGCTAGACTTTTCATTCGGCCCGCTACTAGCCTCTGGCTATGAGCCCAACCAGTTTTGGTATTTTTGTATCTGATGCCTGCAAATAAGGAATTGAACTGAAATAAAAAAAAGCACGACACCACTTAACTCTCACTTCTTGCGTCCGTTGTGAAATATTTCATGGTTTGGATTCGACCAAAAAAGTGTCCTAACATTGCCCCCCCCCTCCTTCACCCCTCAAATTGGGAGCCCTGGGCACGCCTATAGATCAGCGTCATATCTCTCTTTTCAATGAGCCGGGGATGTCCATGATTCGAATATTTCATCCCACACCTAATGTGAGTGTTAAAAGTACGCGTCCCCACACACAACGGATAGCAATGAAGAATTTGCATGCTTGGTGCCCCTCCTCCTCCTTATTTAGTGCGTATATCTTCCTTTCTTAAGATAGAAAATGATTATTTTTTTCTTCGAAGATTCGTGTACAGTTTTCAAAATCTTTCTAGGAGCGTCTCTTGTCTAATCTCAGTGTTTGTGTGCACACCGCTGGGATGAGCAAGCATTGTGCACACAGTTTTCAGTGCATTCTTCACAAGGTGACTACGTTCAGCGGACGCAAAGGAATATTTGTGAACTCACAGCTTACAATGACAGTCGATACACTGACCACCGTAGCAGCACTGGTGACCTTCTTATCAGGTAAAAACTGGTTTATTATTATATACATATTTCTATTGTTTTTCATCATAACAGTGATGCGTCGTTGTAAAAGAACGCGACAAGATACGAGGACCTCTGATTCACTCAAGAACACAAAATGCCACAGCATATATGCCGAACTCATCGCATTAGGAGAGTCTACTTGACATAATTGCGTGAATTTTAGGTCGTATCTTTTAGCGCAATGTTGTTACTACTGTGTGACAGCTGTTACATCAGTCGTATTCCCATCAACACCGGCGATTCGTGTTTGGCGAGCAGTCATGTTTACATAAATGTGACAGTAGGCTAACACATTTATTATCCCACCAGAAGTCACACCAAGCGACAGCATTTATACATGCGGTGCACCACGCATTATGCGTTCCTTGTCTGAAAGATGACACTTTTTTTCGCTGATTTACATTCTTCGAACAGCACACACGCTGTTGTCAGTTCACTTTTTTTTGTTTATATATACGAATGTAATTTGCTTTTTGATATATGCGCCTTGAAAAGGCATATCGTATCAGTTTGATTTGTCATTCAAGCGCTTAAACATGTGCTGATGCCTTACTCGTCACATTTTATGTAACAGTTTTATTTTTCCGTGGTAAAGCACGAAGTACCTTTTCCCATGGTCTCATCAGACACGTGTTCATCTTGATACATATCTTGAATACGAAAACATTCATAATCTGTCCTGGTTCTACAACACAAAAATCGTGTACTTGATGGCGCTATCGATCACTATTTAATTCATTTTTTTCTCTGAATCCGAGACACGCTCGATGAGACAACTAAACTACTGTGGTATAACAACAAAAAAAAACTTACAAAAAAACACGGCAAGCCACTAACAATAGATAAGTGTCGCTGTAGCCATAAACAAAAAGAAAGTGATAAACATATTGTTTCACAAAAAAACGTTCGTTTACAAGAAAAAGGCAGCATGTTACGCTCGATGTAACACTTGAAGGCGATGAATTAAGTCATTCACTCGGTATCCAAACTTGAAAGACGTAACGAGCCATGTTGCGAGCGACACTTACAAAATTTTCTTTACTTTCACAGTCGATTGCATTGTTTTCGCTTTTTCCCTTAGCATGCTCTCCGAGGCGTTCCTTAATTCCTCTGTCGTTGCTGATGGGATGCCCAATTCCTCTTCGCTACTACTTCTTTGATTATGACCCTGGTTGTCCCAGATAATGTGCTAACCTCTGCAGAGATCCTCAGCTACATTATAGCTATTGTTTTGAGCCAGAAAATAAAACATTAGGTTTGGTGGTATAGCCTATATTTTGAAAGTCTATCGGCCACGAGCGAAGCTTCGTCATTACGCTAACTCATGATCGCTTCATTTTTAAACCAGAGACCATAGCACAGGACTGCCAGCCGAGGGACTACGGCTGGGGCAGTTTTGTTTGTGTCTGCAATGCGCATCATTGCGACTTCATCGGTGACATAGGCGATCTGCCGAGTGGAGAAGTGGTTGTGTTCGAGAGCAGCAAAGCCGGCTTGAGATTCGCCAAGACCACTGCAAAATTTAGTGAAACAACAGGTGAGCTCAAGATTGTCACTGAAAACACCATCCACTTGCTTATTCAGTTACTTCTAATTTTCTTCTTGTGCTTCCGCTTATGTTTTCGCCTCTTTAGAAGCCGTAATTTGCTTTCTCTGCGACTTCAGCAGTGACAAATATTGTCATGTATTAGCGATTGTGTGCGAGTCCTCTGCTGGTGATTCTTTCCTTCCTTTTCCCACCCCACTCGTCTCGTGTATAGAGAACTGAGTGTTTGTTGTGATTGTCTTCTCGGCCTTCCAATTCAGTATCTTTTTTCTCTATCTGTTTCTCAACTAAGGCAAGACACAGAGCTAGCCGAAAAAATGTTTAACTGCGATAACATTGATACATAAAGCCCATCACCTTATTACTGGGGAAGCTTAGATAAATCAATGCGCATTAAGATCAAAGACTTACTGGACTTAAGTAGTTAAATGGCACCTCCGCGCTCGCCCAAAGTATGCAGAGCGCTATGCTAAATCGACTTGCTTCGGCTGCTTTCTTTTTATTCAAATAACCAAATAACAATAAATGAATGACTTCTGGCTATTCCTTTTCCCATGATCACTGGGAATAAAATAAAACTTAAGAAAAGTAGTGCTTCTGCTGCTGCCGTGGCTGTTTTGTTCACGTGTTGTGCGCATGGGTATTAAAAACATCGTGTATACTATGTATAGAGGGTGTACCTGCAGGGTGATTTACAAAAAGAGCAATTGCATTAGGTGAAGTGAATTAAGTGCATATTGTTCCCAGTATTGCGTAGTAGCCTACTACAAACTTTTACGTTACTTAGAATTATCGTTAGTCAGAGTTACAGTAGTGACCTCCAAAGGTACTCGCCTACTTATCAAATTGTCAATGTGGCAGATGTCCGCATGTTTGAACTACATCTGTTTGTGGTATACTTGGTTCTTTTTTGTTGAGAAAGAAAGTCCACAAAACAGGAAAAATAACACGCGACTGCGCTTCCACACACAAAAGAAAGCAGCGCCTTCTAACAGATGTCTCAAATAAGCTTACTGCAAGCAACTGCTTTGCCTCTTTTCTGTTGCCGTAGACAGCGTTCCACACATCGACAATGGTACATGTCGTGCGCCAACAACATGCGTTGCAGTTTTCGCAGAAACTTCTGCCTAATTGTACGCCCCTGTCATTATCCACGTCTCACGATGAGACGTTCTAATTGATAACGCGATCGGAGCGCTATTCCGATTACAGCCTGACTCAGTAAGATAAAATGTATGGTTTCTTAATTCAGAAAGTAAATGGCAGATAGCATGACTAACATTTTTTTTTCAATATTGTTTTCATTTATTCTGGTCACCTTAGTAAGCCTGTTTCATAGCGCTGCGTCCCGATGCGCGCAGCAGTGTAGTCCCGTGTCACATTTCAGATTTCACAGGGTTTCTTTAATAGCATAAAATATCTTTCCTATTTAGATTTTGACAATTACATCACCACTTTTTGAGTTACATATATAGGTGTAACTTGTTAAATATTTCAATTAACGAAAAAAATTAGTAGTGCCTACTGCGTTACATTGAGAACAATATGCAGTGGGTCTTGCTTCACGTAACGTTGTTCCTCTTTTGTTTTCTACCACGCTGCGTGATAATTGGGACACCCCGTATTGACTCATTTAGTGTTGCATTTAACATTCGACGTCTCCCCCACATGTAAATACTGTCTTTGCGACCGTGTTGTAGTTCCTCTTGGTTCCTTTCGTACATATCAGGAGAGCTAACGTGCGGGTGTAATTATTCGCCATTTTGGCTGCACCTGCAAATAATTGTCAAGCGCGCACGGAATGGGCTTGAGCTTACATTCTACTCATGCGTAAGGGAAGCGATCAATACCGGCCTCAAATGAGCCAAAAATTAACACCTCAAAAAATACAAGTGTAGAATAACAAAAAAAGCTTTTTGAATTTTACCGTCGATTTGTATCGACAAACCGAGGGTCCCACTAAGGTCTCTGGCTCTGGGACCCTCGCCTGTATATCTTAGATTTTGTACCTTGTTTTTGGAAAAAAATAATAAACTTGAAACTTGAATAATACTAGCAATTACAGTTCAAAAAGCTGTACCATATAATATCGCGCTAACAATTTGAAGGCCGACTTGTGGGACATACAGGGCGTTGCAATATCTGTTCTGTTTCTTTAATACCCAAATTTGACAGAAGTTGCTGATGACGATGACACACGAGTCCTTTCGGTCAACTCATGCACAACATTCCAGAGGATACTTGGTTTTGGAGGCGCCTTCACTGATTCCGTTGGAATAAATCTGAACTCTCTGCCGAGCGACATGCAAGATAATATCCTCAAGTCCTACTATTCTAAAGAAGGTACGTTGATTGATGAGTGATGTGTCAGTCTCAATAGATAGTTTAATTGAGAATGACTTCCACCTGTCTAATTAAAAATGAATTTTATCTGTCGTACACAGGAAGCTTAGCATTACACGTCAAAACAATGTTACGCGCCTTTTATCGAGGGTGGAACACAAAAATTGCACGCCCACTTCTGAGTGACAGATCAACCAGTGGTAATTGTCCTTAATCGCTAATAAATTTTAGACTCCTTTACTGAAATCATGCGGTGTATGCACGATCTCGCGGTGGGCACAACCACAGTGACTTCGACTAATATTTGTGTGTTTACTTCTTTAAAGAAAAGAATTACGTCAGTTGAAGGCCATAGAAGGCGAAACACGCAAACGTGTCCTGGAGACTGTGTGAACTGGTGTCTGGCCATATATAAGAACCAAGAGATAGATGGTAAGCTCTGGCGTTAAAGAAAATGTCTTGGACAGACTGCAGTGAAAAATGAGCATGCATTTTGACAAATTTCAATGCATTGACGCAACAAGGTATAAAATATTTCCACAGGGAAGCACTAATAGTATATCCCAAGCATATAGTAAAAGGGGAAATGAGAATTTGAATAGAGCAAGGCGACATTATCTTTAGTCCGGTGTTTCAGTGACAAATTATAAAGAGAAACTTAGGCCTTCGCAGTTTTCAATTGAACTCTAGTTATTTTCAGGCATATTTGATATGTTGCCCCGCCGTGGTGGTCTAGTGGCTAATGTACTCAGCTGGAGACCCGCATGTCTCGGGATCGAATCCCGACTGCGGCGGCTGCATAATGGAGCGAAATTTCCGGAGCCCTCCACTGTGGTGACATGTGGCGGTTTCGAGACCTTAAACCCCACATATCAATCATGATATCTTTATTTGATATGTCATTAGCGAGCGTCTTGTGGCGAATAAACATTTTTAACGCCCACGAAAGTGCAGGTAAGCGAGAATATTTAAGAATTCACTTATGAAATTTAGGCAATTAGTGCAATGCAGTGATTTATACTTTGGCCCTCTACGCTTCAAGTGGAGGATCACAGTCACCTTAGGCTACAGCAAGTGTTTTAGTCGAAAATGGAGGAATATCTTAGCCGATTTTACGAGATTATTACACGTGGCAAAATGTTTGCAGAGAGTAACCCAAGTAGGTGTAACCTACTTTAAAAAAAAACAGCGAAGGTTGACGCGCGAAGACTATGATCCAAATACTTTATACCTTGCCGTTATCGATGGTGAAGATCATTATTTATATAAAAATATGCTATATTTTCACTTTGGTTTCATCTAATAAAATTGAGCATTTTGTGCTATGTTTTGGAACTATTTCTCTATACTGCCGTAACACCATATATTTGTCACATCGATCAACATTGAGCAGGCTTGGGGAGATGAATCGACCAGGTGGTGCCAGCTTATTTCATTACCGGCGCGGCAGCTTACCCGCCACTTATGAAAACTGTTACACTCGCAACATCTTATGACAAATATAAACGATATAATGTTTTGGATTTAATAATTCGTTCTTGGCCCTTCTGCGCCACCTGTATAGGAATCGAATACAACATGGGAAGAATCCCGTTGGCCAGCACTGACTTCTCTGAGCGCAAATACACGTATGACGATTCGCCCGATGACTTTGAGCTGGAAAACTTCACTCTCGCTTCAGAAGACCTCGACCTCAAGGTGAGCGAAATAATGAGTATAACCAAGCTCACGAAACACCTTCGTTAGGATCACCAGTGTCTATAACTAATAAAGGTTGGGACCATTGTTTATCTTGAACCGCTTAGAAAAAGTGCAGCATTTGCTTTGAATGAAGATGTATATAGGTGACATGCTAGTCAATGTGTTTGGTATTTAGAAAGCTCACCCTTGGGCATAGCTTTCTCACAACACGTGGACAATAATATAACATCACCAAGACGGGCTGTATTACAGGACGTGCTAATAAGTAAACATTTATGCCTTTGTGAACACATAAAGAAACGCTCATCTTCCAAGCTTTCTGCCCTCGACAGTTCACAATTTGCTATGCCTCTACAGGGGAACATCATTTCTGGTCTGCATGCGTAATAAGCTGCTTACAGTAGTGTAGGTGTAGTGTAAGTGTAGTGTAAGTGTAGTGTAAGTGTAGTGTAAGTGTAGTGTAAGTGTAAGTGAAGCTTATTGTAGTTAAGCTGCTTATAGTAGTGTTTCTTTGGCTGTTCCACGACTCAGAAATTATGACCTCGTTGTGTATCTCTCTCTCGCTTTCTTTTGTGTGATACAGCCGAGGACTGCGGCGCAAGGTGCTTGAGCCAAGGTTTCTAGTGAACGTATAGCAAGAATTATTTCCCACAAACGCGTTCACAATCATAGAGTTAAAGTTTTTTTTTTCGAAACTGTGATCGTATTTCATATACAGTGTGCTTCTTCGAACTCTCTTGCGTTACCTGGGGAGTTCCTTTACAACGTCCGCCAGCACTCACGTTTACAAAGCGTAAACTAATCTTCTTTCTTTCACAGATGCCCCACATTCAAAAGGCTATGTCTTTCTCAAGCGACGTCGTGTGGTTCATCGGCAGTTCCTGGAGTAGTCCGGCGTGGATGAAGACGAATGGCGAGCTTGAGGGTCTCGGTTTTCTGAAGGGTCTTCCTGGCGGGCCGTATTACAAGACTTGGGCAAAGTATCATATCAGGTACAGCCTGTACGTGCACGTCTCTCTTTTGTGTTCCCCTGCCCCTTTGTGTCTGCAATAACACCGTTTAAGGCTGATCGCCTCATAGCATTGGCAAAGCACAGTGTGACTGAGACACGGGACGAATAAACGCATACCACACCCGAGCGCTGAAAGTGGTCTGTGTTCTGCGCCCCTTGTCCCAGTTGCGCTCTGCCTTCACATTTCTTTGTGTTTGGTTGTCTGCGATTTCCTAGTCTTACAGCATAACACTCTTTTTTCATGTCTTTGCAAGAGCTATAATCTATAGACATCGAGATAGAATGAGAGAGGGGGATGTTGTGGATATCAATAACCGAGTCTTGTGTGCATCAAAATGTTTAACCTGTTCCCAACCGAAAATAAATGTGGGTAAGCAAAATGATTTACTATGTTTCAAAAATTGCAAATTGAGAACAATGCGACAGACTATTATTTTTCAAATGATAAAAACATATATAAAATACCACCATTGCAAATCCTGACTTTCAAGCAACGAGTTTTCTGTCTTCAAATGTTTCGCGGAGTTTAACAACATAACTTCTGTTCACACAACAGTGTATGCCAAAAAGTAATTTTAAACTTCTAGTATCTCCGCATAATCAGTCGCACGCAGCGCGATCTGCCGATCACTATTTTTCCCCACCAGCATCTAATACTTCTGCTGCTCACTTTTTGACTATGGGTAAAGGACACACTGGGGTACGAAGGTGCGAGTTTTCAAAGGCACAGCGCAGTTAACGGTTGCGTAGTGAAGAAGTCATGAACATGAACGTGGACTCAAGTAACGAAGTGGTTATAGAAGGTGACATATATTTAACAAGGAACACCATAAAACTTTTAATCACGCTAAGAATTGTACCACTGCATTCCATCAAAATTTCATATGCAATTGATTCATATATATTAGCGAACGAGTGATGACAATAATGTATCGACACTGGTTACCATGGACAAGAATAAAGTACAGGGCAAAGGTCACTTATGTTTATCATACTATCTTACAATGAAGCCCAGTCCTGTATATAACTACGCAATACGCAACGCTAGTATCAGAACAGCCCTTGCACAGCTGTGTGGCACAGAGATTGGACAAATCTCAACAACTCGCAGATGCCCACTAAAATGTCGTGGAGTGGACAGTGAGGCAACACAACGCTGGCTGCTCAAATTTCTTCTCAAGCTCGGGTACTAAACGAGAAAGGCACGGGGAAAGTCAGACGACACGGCGCTGGTCGCTGCAGCAAGACTCAAGCTGCTAAGTAAAAAAGCTTACGCTAAATTGAAAAGAAGACTTTCTGTACATAACTTATATGTCACCTCTGTGCCATGTACCACACATACTAGTATGCTGGTCATATACTTTCAGAGAGTAGAATGACTGGTGAATTCTTTTTTGTAAACATTGTTTCATTAAATCATTTTGGTTTCAGAACGACCATTGGCAGTGATGCTTAGGTTGAATCTCACTTCCAGGTTTATCCAAGAGTACGAGAAACAGGGAGTTCCCATATGGGGTCTCACGACGCAGAACGAACCAACGTCGGGCTTTGTTCCGTTCTATCCATGGCAGACACTGGGTTTCACGGCCTGTAGTCAGAGAGACTTCATCACGCTCGACCTCGGGCCGGCTCTGGAACACGCTGGTTACGGCGCGGGCAAAGTGAAGGTCATGATCTTTGACGACAATCGCCTCTTCCTTCCGCTCTGGGCAAACTTGGTGAGTAAAAGAATCTACTATGGCAGCTTCACACTAAAACCTTGAACAGATCTGTTGGCATATTCAATACGTTTGATGAGGTTTCGCTAATATGTTACCTCAAACATTCCCTTTCTGCATTTCCCATGAGCGTTTCTGCTGATACACAAGTATGGTTTCATGCATGGTACAGTGAAGTCATAGGTGGGGCCACGACACTTCTTTTTGCTGGGTGGGAAGCAAAGGGGGGACAAGGACTAGTGGGTGTCTTCAAGTTGGGGTGGGGCTATGCATTGTGTTTTGACTATGGGTATTCTGACTTTGGACCATGTTGTGACTGTTTTCACTGTGTTTTGACTATGTTTGCTTCTGAAGGGGAGTGCAAATGTGGTGCAGGTGAGAACTATGGTGAGTACTACCGTGTTCCTTTTTTGAGCCACCTGGCATTGAAAAAGTTCCCGAAGGTTTTCTGCTGAAGTTGCATTCAAAGTGGGATACAATGTCCAATATACAGGGTTGTAATTGCAGCGCCATGGTAAATGTGACACACATCTTCCAGCATTGCTTCTCAGAATGCGAACGTGACTAAGTTTGTTCATCAATCTGTTACTTATTGTGTGCTTTTTTAATGTTACCGTTACCATCAACCCAAAGCTGTACAGTACTATAAGATAGCGGCGACTGTCTTTGGTAGGAAAGTAATCTATTGGTACTTGTGGGCAAGATCCTCAGTGACCATGAGGCGGCAAAGTACGTGCACGGAGTTGGCGTCCACTGGTACCAGAACAAGTTTGTTGGCCCAGCTGTACTAGACCACGTGCGACAGAACTTTCCGGATAAGTTCATCCTTGCTACAGAAGCCTGTTCCGGATATGAGATAACGACGGTGAACAAAGTCAAGCTTGGCAGCTGGGATAGGGCCGAGGAGTACGCCAGTGACATAATCGAGGTGAGTGATCTCTTGCTGAACAAAAAAGTATATTCAGCGTAATCCCAATTACAGTAGATATTACAAGCAACTTCCCACATTGTCTCCGACACCCGAAGTGTACACAGATAGGTAAACACTGTCAAAGCTATTCCTGCAAAATGGTCGTTTCCATTACTATGCAATGAGCCAGTTCATGCTAGCGCCGGACAGCCTGGTCGAAAGCTTTTCGACGTAATCACATACTGATGTGAATAATAATGCAAAGCTGGTTCAGCGATACTTTTTTCCCAGCAAGGAAACGGATGCCTCACGAAACTATTCTCAAATTTAGTGGAATGCAGTTCTAGTCTAGTTGCTACTCTTTTACCTGCGTTCATTGCATTTACAGAACCTAAACCACGGTGTCGGTGGTTGGATAGACTGGAACCTCGTTTTAGACACAGAAGGTGGTCCCACGTGGGCCAACAACTACGTTGGCTCACCTATTATTGCAAATGCCACTGCTGAAGAGTTTTACAAACAGCCTACGTATTACGCTATGGGCCACTTCAGGTACGTATCACTGACGTTTATGACACAGGTAAATGCGTCAGCATATATGCTCTCGCTGCTACTAATGGTGCTGTGACTCACACAGACTAACCTCGTGTTGTCAAACCAACTCACTGGTATACCGACGGTGTAGCACACAAATAAATTTGTCCTTGTTGTTGTGAGTACTTACAGGTGTTTGTTAAAGACTATTTTTATTTAATTAATCTGGCTTTTGTTAGAGCTGCTACAGTATGCGGCCCCAGAGAACATATGTTGTGCCGTATACAGTTCTGAAGACTCTGCATGCATTGTTGCCTTCTTATATTTCCCACAGCAAGTTCATTCCAAGGGGCAGTATCAGGATATTTTCGAGCCTGGAACAATACAGCATTATAGACATTTTTGAAAAAGAAGTGGAACATACCGCATTCTTGAGGCCGGATTCAGACAGTAGTGGTTATCGTCCTGAACAAGTGAGTAAACAGCGGTCGATATAAAATGTAGGAAACAGTTTCAGACTTGTAGCTAGCTCACAGCGTTGCTCAAAACTGGGAGAAGTGGTGCGCGTGTTATTTTTGTAGCAAGCGAATCGGTGTTGAATTCTGGTGGCTGGTAGTCACCGCCAAGCGCTAGATTAGTTGGCGGTGCGTGGTTCTTGGATGAGATTTATCACCCCCCAAATTGCACATGAACGAACGGTGGACAGTATAAACAGGAGAACTGAGTGAATAACTCCATAGGGGATTAAGTTTGATCCTGCGTAGCCATAACTATTAATTGATTGATAACTCATCACTTTGTATACACTGCAGCTCCACTGTTGCTGTTACCTAAAACAAAGCACCATGACGTACCAAGGGCCGCTAAATGATATCGTTCAATAACACTCGACAATAAATTACATGAAATTGATTGCTATGTGGTATGGTTGCGTAAATTTTCTGTCAGGACCTATTGGCTGTAGATTTATGTGTTCGAATGCCTAAGCTGCGATAAATACGGGAACGTGAAAATTTCTAGAACTATGTGCAATTACAGAAAAAGCTATAGAAGGAGTGGACAACAGTAAGCTTTTAGATGTGGCAACGTGCTAACCAAAGCTTGGGATCCTGCGAGATGAATTAGCTTAATTTCCGCGTAACTTTTTAAAAAGCCCCTGTCGTACAATAGGTAAGAAATGTCCGAGGCCAGGATTATATACTAGGTTGCATCAAAGCTCTGTTAATGCGAAGTATAAGAGGCCACCACTACGTTACACTATGTGATAATTTATCGCCAAAATTACTAGGCAGTATTTTCTAACTTTCCTGTTCTAACTTTTCAGACAGAACCGCAAAGTCATGTTGAGGATCCAAGACCAGTCTAACCCTGTCAATATTCAGAAAGTCATCAGCGAACGTTCCATTGCAACGTTCATCTGGAAGGCAGACAGCCCATGCCCGACATAGTCAATCATCCAACACCACTCGTGCAGACTTTATTCGAAGTATAATAGGGCGTAGTGTGTGCACCTCTCTCTGTTTTATTTTTGTGCGTTGGTATTTCTTACGTTTTCACAATAGTGTGCGGGTCACAATTAACGAAAGATCTCGAAATACACACCGGTGAAAGAAGACGTCCATTTTATTTCTTTTCAGTATGGTTGTATTAATGATTAAATAATATCCATGGTATTGCATAGCCGTCAAAATGCAAGTCGTTATGAGTGGCCTTTTATACCGACATTGCGAAAGGTTACGCAGATTGCTGTAACTACGAAGATTGCCGAAAAGATAGGTAGAGATTGCCTCGTTCCACGGGTATACATTCTGCGATTATGAAAATGATCCAATTTTGGAACAAACCCAGGAAGGCAATATCCTTTTACAAATTTTCTTAGTAAAGCCATAGAGTAACATATACTAAACTTTAGCTATAATACTGTATGATATAGCTGCATCTATCTATCTATCTATCTATCTATCTATCTATCTATCTATCTATCTATCTATCTATCTATCTATCTATCTATCTATCTATCTATCTATCTATCTATCTATCTATCTATCTATCTATCTATCTATCTATCTATCTATCTATCTATCTATCTATCTATCTATCTATCTATCTATCTAGCCGCTTACGTTTGGGTGCTCTCGTGGTCACCTCCTTAACTTGGCGTAAACCAAAATTAGCATGGTAGGGTAAGATGTTTTGACGAATATGACGCACTGGACAAGACATAATAACACTTTCCGCTAGACAGTGGCACATACCCACTGGCGGGTATGTGCCGCTGGTATGCCAATATGTGCCACAGTTGATTGACACTTAGCATTTCCTCAGGAACGACGAGAACACACATAGGAAGTTTTAACACGTGAGCTTTTATAAATACCCGTCATCGGTAGCGTCGACCCGAAGAATGCAAAAAATAAATGTCAGGGTCCCAGCTGGAATCGAACCCAAGCATTCTGAGTAGAAATGAAGCATTTTACCTCCGAGCTACTCCAATTTATTTTTTTTACCATGGTATTTATTAAAGTACTTGGGCAATCATGACAAAATCAAGCGAACAAAAGTACAATCAAATCGCGAAAGTAAGCGTTCAAGTGTTACTCATAAACACTAAATGCCTAACACAGCGCGAGTTCTTCACATGGAGAGTTCTTCACATCGTGTTATACAAACAAAAAAGGGGTGAGGTCAAACAGTTCTCTAAGACGGAGTACCAGTCCGGTCTAAAGTCTAGCTCGTCGTAAATGTTTTTTAGGTGGATAGCCATTTGAATGAAGTGTGCGCTTGAAGAGGTGATGGGCTCTGCATTGCGGTCTTGCATTCGTGTCTTCCACAAGCTGTGCATACCCATGAGGAAAAACATATCATATGGTACTTCATCAGGCGCTGCTGGCAGAAGATAACGCATTGTGTGAGAATTAATGACGAAACGTTTTTTCAGTGCTCGCTGAAGGACATCCCAAAACAGTATGGCATCTTTGCAGCTAACAAAGCAATGTTCAATCGTTTCCGGCACATCACATAGACGGCAGTTAACAGACGGAATGAAAATACCTTTTCTTTCTAACCATGTGTTTACCGCCAATGTTTCAGAGTGGAGTTTATAGAAGAATGTTTTTGGCTTCGGTGGAATGTACATTTTGCGCACTCGCTTCAACACATCGTGACCTGGAAGATTGGCGTACAGTGAACGGTACAATGGAGGTGGGAAGAGTGTACTCAGTAGGTCCTTATACAGCACCTTGCGCGATACTGTGTACAGGTATTCTACAGAGAAGCGAGCTTTAAGGAACTGAACTGCGAGGTAAACCTCCTGCATGAATCCCCACAAGCATGGGCGTTCGGAAAAGTTGGATGAAACAATTAAATCTGGTAAGCAATCAACAAGTGTAACCTGCAAGAAGGAACGGATTACAGGATGGGAATTGTCTCGAAAAAAGACGAATCGGGACACTAGTTGCCATAGATAAAGGTGTTTTAGTCCTAACCCACCCTCACTAACTGGCTTGAATATATTATCACGACGCATGGGCTCAAAAGTCGAAGACCATATGAAAGTAGCGAAAATCCGATGAAAGCGTTGTATATAGAATCTTGCGCAATGAATAAGTTGCAATACATAGTAAAGTTTTGTTGCTAAGAAAGTATTGCAAGCTTCAGCTCTCCCAAATATCGAAAGTCGATAGGGCACAAATGTCTGGGCCTGTCGTTCAAGCTTAGGGACGCGTTCCTTCCAGTAATGCGCACTGAATCTATATGCATGCAATGGTACACCGAGGTATGTTGGAGGAGTTCTTGTCCAATTAATCCCTGCAAAGTGGTTCGGTGTGCTACCCCACAAGCCAAACCACAGTCCTAAACTTTTAGAGGCATTTAAACGAACTATTGAAAAAGTTCGGCGTAGTATCCGAGCTACTCCAATTCTTGGAACTACATTCAAATAGACGCTAGTCTTCGTGAAACGTCAATAGTGGTTGCAGTGCGGCCTGTCCAATTTTATAAGCATTACATATGTACTCTTTTGATACAGGCGTCACGTCAGATTAACGACAACTGCGGTTAGTCACCATGCGTAGAGCCACGTCTGGTCTCAGAATTACTTTTAAAATAAACCCTATGTTCATGAAACTTCAATTCTAGTTGCAGTGCTGGCTATCTAATTTCATAAACATTACACATGTACTCCTATGATACAGCCGTCATATGGGGTTAACGTGGTGCCATCCGCTGAAGTTGAGTTATGTAGCAGTGTCCAGGGGTGCCCTCGCGAGAGCCAGCACTTCAGATCAGCTTACCACTTCTGGTGTAGCTAATATCCGTGTTGCTGTTGGCATCGTTACGCAACTGTAAACAACTGATTATAAAAACATAGCTATTTGACGTGTGTCTGTGGATGCATTTGTACATATCTTAAGCGCCAGTTTGTATCGTTTCGCTCAATGAAAAATTACAACCCAGTCAGTTTCCATGCGCAAGCTTCACATAATATCGATTCCAGAGGAACCGGGTCTACCAAATTTTAAATGCGAAGCATTTCTTAGCGAACTTCGGCGACTTTGAGCGTATATATATATATATATATATATATATATATATATATACGACTTTCGGCTCTCCTGGCCGTTTCGATAATGGTATCGATACCAAACTTCGTATGACGAACATAACTGACTATTCATAACATGAAAATCGTGACATGTATGTCATAAATGTCTTGATATACATGTCATGGTCATGCTGCTCTCGCGGTGGTTTCACTCACATGATATGTTGCAAAACTGGTATGGTATGACATGATTGCATGGCAAACACAAGCGACAGATCCTAACATAAAAATTATGATATGCGTGTCATGTAACGACATCCCTACATGCCACCGCTCATGATGCACTCGCGTTAATTTCGCTAGCTCCTCATGAACCAAATTCGGTATTACGAAACGTGAATGGATGACAAGGTATGTGAATGGTGCAAACATGATGATCATGAGATGCGTGTCATGTAAAAACATGACTACATGCTACGCTCTTGATGCACTCGCGGCCGTTTCGCTAGCTTCACATGTACCAAATTTGGTATTACGTGACGCGAACGGACGACATCGGTAAATGACACGTCCGAACATGATGATCATGACATGCGTGTCATGTAACAACATGACTATGTACCACACTCATAATGCGCTCGCGCCCGTTTCGCTACCTTCACATATGCCAAAATTCGGTATTACGGCACGTGAATGAATGACGAAGGTATGAGACTGGTTCAAACGTGATAATCATGCGATGCGTGTCATGTGAGAACATCAATGCACGCACACTCAAGGCGCCAATACACTCCGACGTGAGCCGGCGTGCGTGCGCGCCGGCGTTCGTTTTATCGCGTCACACCGGCGATGCCACGCCAGGCGCCGATATCCTCCTAGTAGAGATCAGTGGATCTGCCCTCTGACCTTCATTGTGGATCTGCATGCCATATACTCGCAGGCAGCGCGCCGCGCTGCGTTGCTTTGACGCATGCTCGTTTCAGCAGCGTCCAGCGTTCCCTCCATCACGAAAAGAGGCAGACGCAGTGCTGTCTGGGTAATGCATCGGTGCGAAATGCAGCATGTCGCATTTCGCACCGGTTGCCATCGGGCCGCGCTAATGGACGCTGGTCGCGCCGGTCATGCTTGGCGTGAGACTATAGAGTTCTCGCGTTTTGCTAACGTATAGCGTCGCTGTGCCCAGAGTACGTGCGCGTCAACGTCACGTTGGAGTATATTGGGCCCTGCATGATGCACTTGATCGCGGGGGTTTCGCTAGCTCCACATATACCATATATGGTGTTACGTGACGTCAATGAAAGACGAAGATACTGTGACTGCTGCAAGCAGGATAATCACTGAAGCAGAAGTAATGTACGGCATAATTTACCACCACTTCGTAACGTTATTGTGGGATTTTAAAGTGACATATCAACCTTCCTTATTCGTGCTTCGCATATCATCAATTCACACTGTACGTGGGATCAGGCAATTTTTTTAGTGATTGGATCTTACTTCTTTTCACGGCGACAATCAATATTGTCGTTATGATAGCTCTTTCTGTCCAGAGGTGGTCATCTTGGTGTGAAAGGGGGGCAAATTTTTAATACATACACGTCTGACTTACACTACCTGTACTTCTGAACGTATGCACTTTCCTTTTCAGCGTGCTTCTGCTATACTGCACACACACATGAGAAATGATTCTCAATTGGATTGTATAATAAATGAATAGTATCATGCACAGTCTTCGTTGATCGCATAAGCCAGGGGACTGTATTTCCGTCACTTAAATAAGCCGCCACTCATGGTATTGTGCTGATCAGAAAAAAATTTTCGTATCTACAAGTGAGATCAACCAAAAGAACCCTTCTGCATTGTGCAGTCATACCTAAACTTTTTCACAGAGTGGATGTGAATGCCTTACGACCATTCAAGGCTTTCAGGCCGTTGTCAAGCCATGTCCCGATTTTGAAAGGCTCTCATGGCTTTGAAATTGGACGTATGTATGTATGTATGTATGTATGTATGTATGTATGTATGTATGTATGTATGTATGTATGTATGTATGTATGTAGTATGTATGTATGTATGTATGTATGTATGTATGTATGTATGTATGTATGTATGTATGTATGTATGTATGTATGTATGTATGTATGTATGTATGTATGTATGTATGTATGTATGTATGTATGTATGTATGTACGTATGTATAAAAGATGAATGGATTGACGGTCTAATCACCATTCACCCCATGGATAAGCTGTGACTTTTTTTACACAGTGAAAGCTGTTATGAGATCACAAGGATTGCATGTGCCGTAGTTGTCCACCGCCAGCAGTATACCCTTACCCGTTTTCGCGCGAAATAAAAAAATCTAAACACATAAAAAACACCCCAGACAAATTGAATTCGAACCCGAATCTTTTTCGTGCCAGCTCAGAACTGTACCCATGAGCCACGGTGGTGATTCAAACTCCATGGCTATAGAATTGGCCTTAGGTAGGCTTGACGTCGGGAAAGGAATCACGTTAATATCAGTAATAAAGCATTTTAGAACAACAAAGAAACGACCAGGCGTCACACAATGTGAACTGCCCTACGATTCGATCATCGACTGCTTCAACCCATTATAAAATCCTCAGGCATACTTCTGCATCATGGTCAGCCACAGCATGAAAAAATGCGAAAATTCCTTGCAGGCGTGTAGCGGGTACCACGCTTCTCTTAAAAATGTATAAGGATTTCATGGTGAATGCATGCATCTCTATAACAGAAAAATTATTATTTATGCGGTAGTGGGCACCATGCATGTGTGCCTGAAGCAGTTACCCAAAGATGGTTTTAAAAAAGGTTCTGAAAAGCCGCTCTTCCAGCTTTCGCTCTGACTGTGTGGCGCGTTCCACGCAAGCCTGGCATTAGTTTTTTTTATTTTCTTTTTGTTCTTTGTGCGGAAAAAAACAGCTAACGGGCTTCTTTATGCAGTACGATTGGACTGTTCAATATACTTCCTATTATTGCATTGTTATAAGCGTTCACAATGGAAGCTTCACAAGACTCTTTTGCACCACGGCAGCAACATCACAATGCGAAGTGGCGTCTTTGGGTAGCAGCAGCGCTGCGAACAATAACGCAGATGGCTGCAAGTTCATATAGATACCGCTAGAACATTCTACGTTTTGTTGGATAATTTTTCACGTTGCTGCTGATGGTTAAACTACAGAGTTGACCTGCACGGTTTTTTTTTTCCTGAATATTGCACACAATGCTCTACAAAAGTGCACTGTCGTCCAATTTAATTGCCTTTAGAATGTCTAAGCAACAGTTAGCTTCCTTCAGCACTATTTGTCGAAAGCCTCGAAGGTTCAATAGTGCCTGAGCACCCTACTACGCCGGGGTACTTGAAATTGGATTATACTGCTTCTTCAAAACAGGTGAGGCCTTGAATTTTGTCAAAGCTGGAGTTATCTCCGTGTGTCCGAGTGCCGGTTTGGCTAAAGCTCGACGTCAGACAGGCAGCTTTCTAAAGTTGTTAGGGGGCAACCTGAATTCAAAAAACAGATATTTGTGGAAAAAGTTGTTTTTTTATTTTAATCTTCTCGAAAAGAATGCGACAAAGAATTTGTGATAACGCAGGTACAACAAAATAAAAATGAAAATAAAACTTGTATATATTTACGGTTTTTTAAACTTACATTCCAATAAACTTCATTTGACTTGATTTACATTAAAGAGAACACAAGACAAAATTGCTGCCGATGTAAAAAAAAAAAAACTGGCTATTTCTGCAAAACTTCTGCGGTGCCAAGAACCTTATTAACTTTCTTGAGCTTTCACAGATATAGTATTGAAACAATTCTCTGAAGTATTCTCTAAACATTATGACCATTACAATGACTGTTTACAAGAAAGAATGTCACATTTTGCATTGCGTTAGGGGACCACTACTTGCCTTAGGAAAGTTCTTCGCGTACTTAGAGTTTATTCAAGCAGGGAAAAAGAAAGTGTGTGTGTTCTAAATGTGCTACATTATTTAGTTCACTCTCAAGTTACTTCAGAATATTGTCTTTTAAAAATTCACACCTATCTTATATTATCAATTCTAAGCATGCTCGCTAAAACGTAGAACGTATACTAATGAAAATGTTAAATGAAATGCGTGCAACAAGTGTCATTCTATATTCGCGTCGTAACCAAAAGTGACAAGCAGTCAGATGATTGTCGGCTAAGGTGCATTATCAAATTCTCTATCCCACAAGCCACGCCTGCATTGATCTTCACGGCGATAATAATTGGAGAACCACATGTAATTAATTTAGATGTATAAGTTTGTTTATCGCCGACTCAATATTATTTAGGCATAGTAATAACAAACTGACCATCTTGACCATTTCCCCGTGTCCATGTGAAATTCGCACACATATTTAGTTCAACCCTAGGTCTGGTGCGTTGTCGTGAATACACTGCGATGTCACCCCAATAGGCACATTCATAGGGCAAAGACATTATTTGCTACACAGTGAGTGCTTTCTACATGTGTTTCGACGTCGAAAAATATAGCTGGAAATTTTAGTATGCATTTTTGTTTACGCAACAAGCGCTGCACTGCCTATCGACGCAAGTGCGGCGAGTACGAGTCAATATTCATTTCATGAAGTTTTCTTTACTGAATTTTATTTATTCACGTACCCTAAACACCCATGGGCATCAGATGCGAGTAGGAGAGGGTAGAGCAGCATACACGCATAAAATGAAATTTAACCACAAAAACTAAACAAAGAAAGGTTTCAAAAAATAAATAACATATAACAATTTAAAAAAGCACAGAAAAGCAGTTATTAGGACAAACTGCCCAAAAATGAAAAACGTAACGCAAGAACAAACGAGACTGAATTCTGTATATTGTATGCTGTGTCCTAAATAAATTACTATAAGCACATATACATCTGAGAACGTAATACGAAGGCCCCGCCACGATAGTCTAGTGGCTAAGGTACTCGGCTGCTCACCCGCAGGTCGTGGGATCAAATCCCGGCGGCGGCGACTGCATTTCCGATGGAGGCGGAAATGCTGTTGGTCCGTATGTTCAGATTTGGGCGCACGTTTAAGAACCCCAGGTGGTCGAAGTTTCTGGAGCCCTTCACTACAACGTCTTTCATAATCATATGGTGGTTTTGGGACGTTAAACCCCACATATCAATCAACGTAATACGAAGTCATTCAGATATATCGTTGATGCTTTATATGTAAGTTTGAGGTGGTTTGTTATACAGGCGATATTGTAAGGCAGTTGATTTGAGTGAATAACAGCAAGAAATAAAGGTTCATGTAAAAATAGGTAAGTTCGAGAAAAGAAATTTGCTAATTAGAACTCATGGCTCATGGGCAGGTTTAATAAAGGAACAAAGACAGACAGCTGAGAATCGTTATAGTACGTAATTACGGTGAAAGAGGGAAAGAGGGAAGTGAAAGAGGGACAGCAGTCTGAGTGGTTTTAAAGAAGGCCACTTAAGTGAAATTTTCACTTTATTCATAGTAGATGTGCAAGAATAATTCTCTGTTATGAAACGGACACTTTTGTTTTGAAGATACTGATGGTTATGTTTGAGGTAAGTCTTGTGAGGGCTCCAAATGTGCTAAGCCTAGTCAAGTTTAGAACAGACTTGTGTATTGCGAGCTAAGAGTTTTGTAGCAGAATGAGGCAAATATAAGTTACGTCTGATGAATCCGAGTGTTCGTCAACGCAGCTAGTGATGGTGTCAATTTGTAAGTTTCATAATAAATGAACGAGAAAGATACATAAAGTCGAATACATTTGAATACATACAAAATGCTAATTATTACGTATACTATCTTTTTTAGGATTACTTCTAGCGTGATGACACAGTAAAATACAAAATTATACCTTAAAACAAAGTGCCATGGGAAATGATTTGAGGATACGTTTATTGACACTTTCAGTTGTTATATCCGGTAAGTGCCTTTCACGCCTCACAACGCTGTTGTGAAAGCGATACTTAAGCTCTCAAGAGAAAAAGACGCCTAATTACGCAAATATCAGATCATGCTAATGATAGGCAAGTTGAAACGCGTTTTAGGCTTAAAGTTCACTTGGTTATTCTCTATTATCTATAATAGACCATTTGTTTTTCTCATGCAAGCATTTTTGTTAGAAAAGGGACGTTATAAAAGCTCTTTCACGTTTAAGCTTCCTCCATACTGAAAAATGTAGCAAATTGTCACACCTCTTTTAAGATTTTGTTTAGGTTCAGAACTTTTTAAAGTCATTATGATAGCAATTATTTTTGTCTTCTATGTACAATAAAAAAAGTTAGTGCCCGCCATCCTCAAATAAGTAACCCCCATAGTGGCTATGATATTCGGCTTGGTGTGGCATTAGAGGGCACAGGTTCGAGTGCAGGCCATGGAGGCAGCTTTTTTTATGAGAGGTAAATGCAGAAACAAATAAAAGGACCTCATACTTATGGTGAATTGCCCCGAGTGAACTCTGAAAATGCCCTATAAAATCACTCTGGAAATGTTCTTTCGAGACCCGACGTGTTTCATTGATTGAACAAGAGAGTGAACACTGTTGCACCTTAACACGCAAAAACGACAGTTTCACTGCCCGGCCAAATACTGTTTTGGCATATGAAGACTTTTTGGATTCCCCCTTTTGATTCACACGCTATTTCGACAACCGACGCAGAGAAGGTATCACATAATGCCACTCACAAGATTGCAAGAAAATAATACATATATCAACACCTGAGCATTGTAGTTTCGAAATCACTCCTGGCAGAATGCCCATTATTATATCTTACAGGAAAATCAAGCACAAATCATAGGAAATTGTGAACACAAATGATTAATTTGATCGTTTAAAAGATGATCAGACCTACAGCTTGCGGCCGCATGCGACTCGCGAGGCCGTATTATGCGCCACCCGGCACGACGCCAGAAGTGCAATGCAGGATAACCTGAACATAGAGTTTCATACAATACTACCTAGAGGGGAATCTGGCGCTGTAGTGTCTACGCGGGCTCCTTCAGCCATAGAGTTTCCTAAAATTAACTAGGGACTCTGTCGCTGCGATCGTTCAGCGACCATGGGAATGATGGGTAGTACACACATTTGCCAGTCTTCGTACTTGCGGCTTCGTTCATTGCTGTGTTTCGGTTTTGTTCTGTAAGAAATATTCAACCCTTTTGAACTTCGTGACCCGATTTGGAAAGGTAAATCTAAAAGAATAAGACGGTGAAGCACAACCGCTGAACATTTGATGATGTTTGTTTCGTGAGAAAACAGCTCCAAGCCACAAGAACACACACGGAGCCAAAAGCAGGCCAGAAGTACAAAGATAAGACAAATCTGTGTACTAGCCATCATTCCCATGCTCGCTGAAGCGCTGTGCGTTGCAGCTCCCATAACACTAGCGCCAAAGTTCCCTCTGGTGTATATTAGAAAACGCTATGCCTTCAGCGGCGCTTGTACACCCTTGGGAATCATGGGAAGTACAGGCTTCGGATCTGTTCCGGATAAATCACGTTCTTGAGATTTGCGGTGCTTATTTACCGAGTGTAAAACAAAGCGATATAAAGTTATGTCTAATTGAAACTTGCCTCATTTTTTTGTACACAAACTTTATTTCAAAAGGTTTTTGTGACTAGACGTAGAAGTGAAACCCGGACAAATTTAACCACCAGGGTTTGCATTTCTCTGCCATTGCGTTCCAGATTTGGCATCAAGGTGTAATGATTTATTCTCTACAACATTAAAAAACATTCTTGTATTTTCCTCGAAAGTACGCAATATCTACTTATAGAAATAACAACGCAGAATTAAGTGAGGAACACTTAACGTTTCGTCTGCTGCTACGCCATGTGTGGCTGTTCAAGTGGTCTGCCCCCAACGCACCTCTCGTTTTGTTGTCATGTCGAGTCGAAAGAGCGTGGCCGAGCGTCTACTTCACGTCGCCGTCGTTGTGCAGTTGATTTAAACGAGTTTTGGCAAGACGCACTAACAACAAACGTGAACTCGATGTAATATCCTGCATTGGCATGGGGCTCTACATCTATGCGCAGCGGTAAGTAAATGACGCTTCGCTTAAACTGTCAAACACGACTTATACAGCTCTAGCGTTGCAGTAAATTGAGAGGCCTAGCAGTTTTCAGCGGCCCTGAACAACAAAGGTGCAGATTCAGTCCTTTGCACCCACCTTACTACCCAATGTACGCGAAGAACGAAACTGAAACTGTAGAAAAAATCCGTAGACAGTTCACTGGCTAACGCGATCCAATCCGACGCCTGTACTTCCCATAATTCCCATGAGTGTACACGATCGGAGCACCAGATTCCTCTCTAGGTAATATTGAATGAAACTCTATAGGCCCGAACTTCTCGGGCAGCCGAGTTTGCGACGAGCTCGCTTGCGGTGGCCGTGGATTGAAGACAGTAGTGCGGAGCACGTGATAACAGCGCTGAAAAAAAATGGCTACACGAACGCGTGTGGCGTTGGAAACGCATGTGGGACATTTCGGGCGGTTATCAAAGAAACACCGCGTGCGTAGAGAGCCTTCATGTGCGCTCATCACGGAGACGCGCGCACTTGAAGGCTCCCTACGCGTGTGCGCACGTCAGCGCTGCCACTCAATCAAAATTTTAGAAGTGCAGCGACGTGAGCGTGATTGCCATGCTGCATTTTTGCCGACTAAGCACACGCCTCCCACAGGCGCGTTCATGGACGCATGTACGTGCTCTCTCGCACAAGCTTTTTCGTTCCACCACCATCATCGAAATTTGCACTCTCGAAGGCAGCAAAGCTGCACCCGCAGCAAGCTTTCGCTTCTATCAATTATTGCTGATAAATATAAGAACAGGTGGTCACCATTGGCGCTCGCATCTTGTCGGCAACGCGGCTGTTATTGGATATGTCACGAGCGCGGTGAAATTGAATACGAGGCATAGAGAAGTTTAGAATAGCGTTCGGAAGTATTGCGGGCGTTGCCTTAGTTGTGGGCGCCATATGAGTTTTAGAATAGCGTTTGCTCCCCCTACGCAAAAGTCTAGGAACTTTCGCCCTGACCGCAAACACAGATGCACGGAAGCTACACACAGCACTTCGTGGGTCTCGCGGGCTGCGATCAGCGCGCGTTATTGCGAATTTTCTGCGGACGGGCCGCGAACGCGAATGGCGGCTCGTGTTACGGCACATGCGCAGGAACAGCGACTGAACCGCAAGGGCTCGCGGCGGGACATAACTTTTACTTCTGCGTGCCTGTATTCATAGTCTGCCCGATGAAGCTGGTAGATGAACTGTGTGCTCGCTGGCTTGGTGGACAGCCCAGAGCTGATCTGCCAAGGATGAGCTGCGGATTGCCGCCTCCCATCTGGCAGAGGTGATGTGCGATAAATGAGCGAATTTGGTGCACTGCCAGAGCATGTGTTCTAATGAAGCTATTTCCCCACAATGTGGACAAAGATTACTTGGATATAGGTCAGGTACATGATGTGTAACATTTTCAAAGTAGGGTACATCCGCGTTTGCAAAAGCCTTAATGTAAGTGCTTGGGCCGGGTTAGATTTTTGTGAGGTGGAGGAAAAATCCTTCTAGACAGGTAGAAATGTTTAGTGAGCTCGTTATATGTTGTAAGAATTTCCCGATTATCCCCTTCACCGCTAGAACGCATCCCCAAGGTGGCGCGGTTGGAGAGTTCTCGCGCCGCCTCGTGTGCTGCTTCGTTGAGATTGGGAGGGGAATCGTTGATTTGTCCAAGGTGAGCTGGGAACCAACTCAGAAGATGATGTGTTATGTTCTTGCCTTGCAGTATTTTTAGCGTTTGTTCACAGACCGTCCCCTTGGCGAACGCCCGTAGTGCTGCCATGGAATCACTGTAGACCACTTCAATGTTATCCATCTTGAGTGCTAAGGCGATGGCCACTTGTTCCGCAACGATTGGGTCTTTCGTCCTGACCGTCGCTGAGTTGACGACATGGCCAGCCCCATCGACTACCACTGCCACAAACGCTTTCCCATTGGCGTAGGAAGCCGCATCAACAAATACGACCCCTCGTTCCTCGTTTGAGACTTGACGAAGTATAGTCCTGGCCCTCGCTACTCTTCTTCCGACGTTGTGTTCTGGATGCATGTTTCTCGGTATAGGAGATACCGTGATAGTCTCCCTGATGTTGTCAGGGATATCATTGTAATTGCGTCTGATTGCTATTGGGTTTTGGCCCAGCTCCTGCAGGATCATTCTCCCCGACCTTGTAGTAGATAACCTTGCAAACTGTGCTCTCTCTTGGGCTTCTGCTATTTCTTCGAGCGTGTTGTGTATGCCAAGCTCAAGCAGACGCTCGGTGCTGGTATGTATGGGTAGGCCCAGGACCTTCTTGATAACTTTCCTGAGGAGCACATTCAGTGTCTAGGACTCTGCTCTTGACCAGTTGTGCATTGCTGCCTCGTATGTGAAGTGACTTAGAACAAACGCATGCATCAACCTGATGAGGTTGTCTTCCTTGATCCCATTTTTTTTTGTTGGCCACTCTGCGTATGAGGTGCACCGCACTGTCTGTTTTCCGAGTTAACTTGGCTATAGATTTGCTGTTGGCGCCGGTAGACTCTATCAGCATTCCCAGGACTTTGATGGAGTCGACCCTCTGGATGGCATCCCCTTGATTTGTACGGAGATGGATGTCTATCTGGTTTAACGGCTTCCATCCCCTGGGCTTTGGTCCCCGGCGTGCAGTCCGATAAAGCAAAAGTTCTGACTTACTCGAGGAGCACTTGAGCCCGGAAGGGCGAAGGTAGTCTTCTACGGTGTCAATCGCCTCTTGCAGAGCGCTCTCAATCTGCCCCTCGTTTCCACCTGTGCACCAGATGGTAATGTCATCTGCGTAGATGCTGTGCTTCAATCCTTCAATGCTCGATAATTTCTTTGACAGTCCAATCATGGCAATGTTAAACAGCATT